CTACCGAAACGTTAACCTGTGACGGGATTATTCCCGATCGCCTGGCCATCACTCCGCATCCTCGGGATTGATTCTTCGCCGCGAGGAAACCCAGCTGGGAGTTGCCGCTGGAATCGAAAGCGTATCGATTCCATCGGGGCTCGACCAAACGTTTATTAGCAGAGTTTAACATTTAATTACGAATTCTTCGATCGCGAGGTAATTGCCTTATATCGTCGTCGAATATAACGAGATAACGAGCATTATTATTTTCCTTTCTTTTGTTCCCGTTGTTTGGCAACGCCGATCGATTCTCTTTGATACAACATCTGTATGTACAGTGGGTGTGAAAAGTATTCGTACACGTGACTAATCACGACTAAAATGCCGAGTAATAATATTTATTAAACAAACATGGTACATCTTAATTTAAAAACATCAGGTATTAACTCTATTGAACATTTGTGGGATTGTCTGGAACGAGCAATTCGAAAACATACAATTTCATTTAAAACAGGCTTAAAAAATGCTTTAATCAACGAATGGAATAATATCGCTAATAAAATCAGTTAATTTAGTTAATTTAATACCTAGAAGGCTGGCTGAAGGATAATAAAATCAAAGGGAAACTCTACTAAATACTAATTACAAATATTATTATAGTTATTCGTTGTTTATATTATAAATGTTTAAATTACTTGTACACTTGGTAATTATAATAGAATACTGTATGAATACTTATTACGCGTTCATTTCTGTCATTTTGTTCATTTTTCTTGATATTTATATAAACAGTATGAATATTTTTTGTTTGTTTATTTGATATTGTTGTTCTACAGACTTTGGAGAATAAATGTACCATGTTTGTTTAAAAAAAATATTGTTTAATAAATATTATTATTCAGCATTTTCGTACTTTTTACACCCAGTGTATGTACAATACAATAGCAGATTGTGCATTCATGCATTCGTCGGAAATTCTGAAGTCTAATATTGCACGTGATGCTCGTTACGGGCAAATGTATATGAAATATTCAAAATATAGCGCTGCCAGTAAAACAATTTTGTCAGTAAAATTTTCTTTGGTCAGTAGAACAACATTCGATATGTAAAATAATTTTCTCGTTTTAATTCTGTTATGAAAATTGCATAAAAACTCGCTGTCTGCTTGTAAAAATTTGACGTTATAAGACGATGAATAGAAATTGAAATAAATTTTGGCATTTATACACGTACAAAAAGAATATTACATAGTAATTTTAAAGATGCTTGGTGTCACAATTTTACTTATCCCAGATAGGATAAAATGCCATAATTATTTTTTTAACACAATTTTACAATACCAATTAAACTAAAAAAATGAAGCAAATGATTTTAGAGATAAGACGTTCACATAAGGGAGGTTACTATATTATGTTCAACATGATATACCAAGAACATCGTATTGTACAAAGCAAAAGATTTTAATACTACGAGTCATTAGAACGTAAAATATTTATATAATATTTGTATATTTATATAAAGCTGTGCTAAACATTGTGCTCATAACACAAAATAGTTGATTCCAAAAGCCCAGAGATAAAATTATACGTTTTTCCATACGTACTCTTGTTCCCAAAACGTGTAACATTGTCCCGCTAAAGTACTTCGTTCTCTTTCTTTTACGAGAAATAAAAGTCTTTCGTTCGCAGTTAGTTGGCTTCCCCTCAAAATTTCAAAAGTCAATTGCCGCGCACATAGAGTGGAACGGCGCGGAGAATAGTTAAGAAACTATCGCGTGCTCGCTACGATCGCTCTTGTTTGTCGCGGCATTGTCGCCGACGTATGAATAATTCATACGTTCGAAAATTGACTGCCGCCGACGCGATTGTCTTCGCGTAACGAAATTGTTGGATAGTTTCGCAAAGATACTCGGGCGCGACCGCGCACCGCGTACGATCATCCGCCGGACTGATGCCAAATTCACCGCATATATGTATATATCCTGGGAACAACAAGGATAATGGCAAATGCATCGAGTGGCCGATCAGACACGCAGTCGTAAATAAACGGATAACGATAGCTCGTATCTGGCTTACGTTATGCAGGTAAACGTTGGCAGGACAGATTGGCTGGCACGTAATTTCGTAGTAAGGCTCTCTATACCTATGCCGTTTCTCGCGATTGCGTGTATATGGCTATCCATATCACGGCCAGGGAAATCCATCGGAGTCGAATTAACTGGAAATCATACGATCCTTGATACATCGTAGTCGAGTTATCGCGTTGAGAGTAAACGATACTTCGTTTCGTGTCTTCGTTAGCTCGCAACATAATGGGAATCCAGGACAGGAGATATCTTGGCATTTTTCTTTTCTATATGAAACAACATTATATAAATATTCTTCGATCAGAGAAAATTAGCGTAATTAATTAACGAAGACGGTGTGGAATCGATGTTTTGTAAAAGTGAAAAATATTGTGTACGTAAGAGGATGCATTTTTTAGTCGTTCTCACGGTCGTTTTATGCGCTTCGAAAAATATTTTATTCATAAAACACTATAAAGATAACACTAGTCAACGTGGAGTCGAATCGCGGGCTTATGTAGGAAAAAATGTATAAAAATTCTCTTGTTTTTGTGATTTAGATGCGCACAAACATCTAAAACTCTCGGAGTATTTAATCTCAGTGTTTTGAATTTGTATAGATTTATGAGACAGAGGAGCACGTTTTTCTACTGGTGGCTTTTCCATTCGAGGTTTTTTTTTTTTCAATTCCTTGATTATATATAAGTGAAAAAGGAAGACTTTAGGAAATTAGAAAATTAGGAAAAAAGTATTTTTTAATATAATTGCCAATTCTAATCGACAGAGGAAAATCGCCATATGGGATACGAAATGTACTAAAATAACTAGCGTAATTAAATATTACAGATAATGAAATCATCATTTCAAATAATATTTGTTAAGAAACAAAGAGTTATAAATGATTCTGGAAACATTATCTGAATGTATTTATTTGACTTTTGCTGCCAATTTATTCATTTATTCATTTTAGATACAATTTTGGTATAACTCGCATTTGTCAAGTAAATTAACGAAGCGCAGAAAATTTTTAGTTTTGTTCGTTCAACACTTTCAATAGTGAGTTTGAAACTTCAAGCAAATTCTCTGTTTCTATTTCTCTTGTCTCACCTAATAATTTAACTCAGTAACAATTGAACAAAACGAAGTTAACAAATCGAGTTTGTTCAGCATACGTTTTTCAGATTCGTATCGTTTAAGATCGGAGATCCTGATTACGAGGATTTTGAAATCCGCGCTCTCACTCACGTAGAACGCGTAGCTCGAGCTGACGTTCTTATTTGAAGTCACCACTGGGAAAAGTCCATTCGGTCAAATTAATTAAATTTAATTAAAATTAATTAAATTTAATATCGTCACCGGAAAAACCCATAGCTCGAATTTATTGAATTTAATTAAATTTAGTGCTTCCGAAACATTTCGATTTCCTCGAACTCTTCTCTCAGAACGGGATGAAGAATTAATTCACGATATACAGATTATTAGAATACATAGATATTTATGTAATGAAATCTGTGTAACTTGATGAATTTTTTTTAATTTTTTGAAAAACTTGAAACTCTGTAAAAACTGTCTCTTGCGTACTGTTATCCGGATTTCCCCGGATTTGTCTCGGTTTTTAAAGTAATTTTACAAACGTCTAGGAGGATTTCCTACAGTGATCCGAGTTTTCCAATGCTGGCTTGCTGCATATCTTCTCATGCTGTGTGTATATTGCGTTCGATGGGGTATGTCGGACGCATCTACAGGGTGTCCCATTCTAACGTGTAAATGCAATTATTTAAATGCGTTTCTTTTCTGTTTTGAGAGGTCAGTAATTTGGTACACTTGGTTTGCTTTTTGATAGACGCGTGTAGGAGATATTTTTTTCAAGATTACTACTATTTTTTCATAATTATGTAATTTCTTTTCACGTCAGTAAAATGCAGCAGGTAATTTTCTGTAGTAAAGTTTCAACCTATCTACATCTAAAACTCATTAGTTTAGGAGATATTTTGATATTTCAGTACCCGTGACTCTAATCTGACATGTACATCACTTGTTACAGTTTGAATAATGTCTCTTCTTTTGGATTTGTTTCACGTTTTAAATAAATCTCTCTCTTTAAGTCTAACTTTCAGCACCAATGATGTTAATGTTACAAACGTTGGATGCCATCTTTTTTGGGTATTTTTCCAACATAAGCATTATCTGAGGTCGAACTTATAAAGAGGAATGCTACGTACTTGCAAAATTGAAATTAAAATATCTCCTTTTAGACGTAAATTGGTTAATACTTTTTTTGTAGAGAACTTCTCTCGCTGAATCTACATACTTATTACATCCGTAAACTCGCGGAGCTGCACTGAATCTATACTTCAGCAAAACGAACACAGCTCTGATTATTCAACGAGATGTGTCTCGTAGTTAATAAACAAATAAATAGACACAATCTTGTATCCAGGCTCTTGTTTCCAACCATGTCGTGGCTGTCACACATGCGCAATTTTGCTCGTAAATTCCCTCCCGAGATAAATGTATTTTAATCGTTTTGACGCAATTAACGTCTTCGCGGAAGTGTGCTTGAGCCGATGGGCAATAACGCGGAACGGCACGTTTCTCCGGGAGAAATCAATGCGTTAGTCGGCGAGTTACCTTGTGTTTCACGAACCACCTTTAAGTCGGGAGACATTTAACTTCCTCGGTTTTCGCTCGGAGCCACCCCTCCTTTATCCCATCGTACGAGTATCAATTTCTTTTAAATTCCGATCGCGTTCCCGTGGAACTCCACCCTCCTTTGTCCCGGCCACGATCCCGACTAGCCCCGAGTTTTTCAGATTTATTGAAATAATTGAATCGGGAACGAGGCGGAGGTATGCTTTGTCATTTGCTGTTGGCGCCCCTCCCGCTCTTCACCGCTGGGCGAATCTTTACGTCTGGTAATATCGACGATAATAGGAAATGCCAATCTACTTACAGTGTACTTTGAGTTTCCATCGTTCCTCGATGCCGGCCTCCTGCAACGTCGGATTCGTCGCCCTGCACACGAGAAACTTCCCCTCGTCGTCGATCGACGGTGTCCATTGTAACACGCTGATGCTTGTCCCTCCTTCCTGAAACTGATCGCGATTCGCGTAAGTGTGTTTTCTACGTAGCTTCTACACGTAACGCGAACGAACGACAAACGTTTCTTGTATCACACGCGGTATACAATCGAATGGGAAGATGACTCGTAAGTGGGAAAGAGAGAATAAAATTTCATTTAAATTACTAACATTACCATCATTTAAATCTAAAGTTGCAGTTAAATAAATCTTATCTTGATGTAACAGTACACAGGTTTTTATTGTTTTCATGGATATTTTTATTTTACTTGCGCTGGCAACTGATTGCGGACCATAACGAGTGGCCAGACCGTATACAATAATTCGTCGCTTTTCTTTCTTTTTGAACTCGTCGGTATGATATCACTGGATGGAAATTATTGAAAAGTAATAAAATTTATTATTTGTTTTGCCTGGATTATACTTGAACATACTTGAAACTATTGAGGAAATATTGCAATTTCGAGACAAAAAAAAAAAAAATTGTCGACGTGCGTGGCACGTCATTTCAGCGTAAGAGGTCAATCAAGTTGCTTTATATTGAAATAACTTCAATGCGGTGGCAATTGAAAGCCTAATAATTGGAAATTTGCGAAACTCTGGTGGCAAAGCGGCCATTTGATCTGAATTATGAAATTCAGTTCTCTCGAAAACAAAGAGCCTTCAGCTCTCGTCGAGTAGAATTTTTAACGAAAGCCTGTTTCCTTGAGAATGAAGGTTACTCCACGTAGAATCTACCGATTATTCATTCGTATTCGGTCAACAAATGTCCAACCTCGTTGTTTGAACGAAGCCTGAGACGAAGAAATATCGTGCCTTTCTTCTCGATTTAGCTTCACGTAGAATCATCTTCCCGCCGATTGTATACTTTGCACATAACGCACGTAGAAGTCGGCAGCGCGAATAAATTTACTTTTCTACGCGAACGCGATAGAATATTTGAACGGAGCCGCGCCTCGAATCGCTGTGAAATTGGCCGAGCACCGAGAAATCCGCTCGGATAATTACAACGCGATTCCTGATGATGGAAACTCGAAAAGTGCGCTGAATTTCAGAATTAAATTTCCATGACAATCGACCGCGCTCGGTGGAGCTCCGAGGTATTCGTTAATACTTGATCTTTTTTTTTTTTTCCCCCCCTCCCCGTCGAATATCCTCGTTCGATTTCGCGTCATTTCCCTCTTCCCAGCGTCAACAGTCGCATCGATTTTCTATGAGCTTTGTTCGTCGTTTGGAAATCGAGAGAAAGAGAGAGAGAAAGAGAGAGAAAGGAAGCGGAAGAAGCGCGACGGCACGCGAGACGAGCCGCCATCGAAAAACTCGAAAAATCTCAAATTCAAATGTTGCGTTGCTGGGAAGACGGAGGGGGAGGGGGAGTATCGATCGGGGCCGTACGCCACGTCGAACTAAAACGAGCAATACGGGATCTCGCGATACGAAAAATTCGAAACCACCTCGAGCACGAGCAAAAATGTTTACCCAACCGAATTTATAGCGGTCGTGTTATCGGCGAAATTTCAGAATGGTCATTCGCGTGTTTGTTTCTTCGAGAATAAAAGTCATGCTCTCCACGAGGTTCTCTTTCCACCTGCGCGCAGTCAGTCACGAAAGTCATCTGCCGTGCTTATCATACGTCCGTCTGTGAAATTTATCGCACGTGTACGCGGTCAGATTTTCAAATGTTTAACCGTAAAGGAAAGAGAAGAATTTTGAACGTTTCACGAACCTTTGTTACTTAATTTTTCAGAAACGATCCACTTGTTTTAGAAGAACTGGATTGTATGTGTTCGTAAAAATTCGTACGGTTTTGAGAGTGTCAAAAAATGGCAATAGATTGATGGGGAACACTACGTGTACTTTGAACATTTTGTGCAGTTCTTCGTCACATTATGCGTATTTTCTGCAATTTCAAATTTTCTACAAACGCATGAAAATATACAGTTTAAGAAAATATATGTAATCTTGTGAAAATTTATTCCGATTATAATTGTAATAACAAGAAAACATTCTGTGCAGTTTAATGCACTATGATAATGGTGCAGTGTCTATATTTGACATAATACAGTTATTTCCTCGAAGTCTATAACTTTAACTCGTAAATAAATCCATGAAACGTTTCCAACTCTTTCTTTTCTTTAAATATTCAAAAATAACAAAGTTAGAACACTGTATCATGGTAATTGCATGATAGATTTTGTTATTACATTCGAATAGTTTACATTCTTCGAAATCTACACGCATAACTTTACTAAGCAAATAAATCAACGTCTCTTCGAAATATTCGAAATTCATTTTGTAGAGTTTAAATATTAAATACACAATCGTTACGTAACTAAACATCGTTATTATATTCGATACAAGAAACACTCATTACTTCGAAACGTTAACTAATATCGCTGCCCGTAAAAACGTTACAAATTCTCATTTCCCTCCGAATATTTGAAATTTTCAGATATACGAGTGTAGACTCTCATAACGGAATTCATCTAGTTCCAATAAATTCCCGTCGTCTTTTTTCTCCTCTCTTTCCCCGGACAAATTTCGGAAAAGTCGATTGATTCGCCGCAGCGGCTGCACGATATTTGAATAACTCTGTAAGAGAAATAAATATAAAGCGAAACAAAAAAAAAAAAAAAAAGGAAAAAAAACAAAGGAAAAAGAAAAAAAGACAGACAGAACCTGTTTCGCTATGATTTTCGTTGACAATCTCCAGGGGTGACCGGGGAATAGAAATATAAAGGGGAATTTTCGCGAACAAGCGTACGCTTGTACGATAAAACTCCACGCTTAATAACTAGTCCTGGATAAAATCCAGGGAAACTAATAATACGTGACAAATTCAAGCTTAAAGCGTGGATCCATGGGGAGAAGCCAGTTGCTGCGTCGCTGTATTACTCGAAAATCGGTCCTCAGAGATGCACGTAGCCGCGTTTCTGCCTTCCGGGGATTTGCGAATGCAGCCACTATGACGAAAAAGGAACGGGGGGGACGGAGGAAAAAGAAAAAAAAAAAAAAAAAACCCTCCGAGATTCGTTACCGGATGGGTTTTTGGTTCATCTGCGATCTTCGTTTCCCCTCCTCTCCACGTGCGCTGTGAAAATTAGCTCGCTAATGGTACTGGATCCGTGCGTTTCCGTGAAATACTCGTCGCGAGTATATGTTAACACATTAGAGACCGATGGATTTTTAAAAGGGACGACGCTTTTCCCATTCACAGTTGAACGAATAGCAATTACCGCTGCGAAAAAAACAGTAAAATTTCTAACAATTGAATTTCCGTTTTAATTTCATTTGTAACATGGTACCACAGCCATCGTGAAATCATATTTCTATCGGCTGATTGAATATTTCGCTGATTGACTGGAAACGCGTTTCATCGTTTTTGTAGTTCAACCATGTGAACTGAGATTGTTCGATTTTCGGATTGTACATATGGTAGAATTCAGGATTGTCGATAAATAATTACTCTACTACTGTAAATTTTTGAGATAGTCTTGAGATTTATATCTTTACGATAGTCTTGAGATTTATATCTTTGAAGATATAATTAAAAGATCAAACTTGTACGAAATTGTTTTACTTAATTAAACGTCATAGAGAGCACTTTGCTTTGCTTGTTTTACACGAATATTATTGATTAATAAGCAACCAAGTATCATAATTTTCTTAATATACTGAATATACGTAATTTGTACTAAATTTTTCTTTCGCAACCCCTCTCTTTCTTCAGTATCTGCTACTTTTCTCAAACAGTAACAGTCTTCAGCGTGAATATTTTAGAAATTTGTACAAATTTTGAGAATACAATTAAACAAACCTGTACAAAACTGTTTCGCTAACTAAACTCTACTAACTAGAAAGCACTTTGCTTCGCGTATTTTACACGAATCTCTCGCCTCTCACGTTACCTACCCTGCAATTTCCTGCAGATGCATAAAAATCCGCAGTCTGCTTATAAATATCGTGTATATCCCGTAAGCGTAAGTACGTGGCTGCTCGCTCGGCAAATCGTACAGTTCATAATTAATCGCTGGAACCGAAAAGAGCCGGCTGCATCGTCTGCAACGCACTTGATAATTAACGACAGAAGAAATTTTCACGAGTGTAGTATTCGAGGAATGAACGCGTTAAGACACTCTGATCTCCCCTATCGAAAATCACCATCTCAAAATTCAAAAGCATCTTCGGCTGCCAAGGGCGAAATCCTCGTTCGAGAAAGTTGATCGAGTATTAACAACGTCTTCTTCAACTCGACCCGAATGACAAATGATAACGAGAGTTACGAGAGAGAGAGAGAGAGAGAGGTGACAAGGATCTGAGACATGCATCGCGCGCTGTTGCGCGACTGCAAGTTGGATAAGGCGCGGGAGTTGGAGACGCTCCGCGATACCGGCTATTATCGTCGCAGCTCGGCGACATTATTCTTGTTGTCACCGGCTCGAACGGGAACGTTACGACGCGTAACGATCTTCCTCGTTTCGACTAATGGATTCAGCGAATCTACCGGGTCACGCCGGGCGCGCGCTTCCCGGGTGCAATACTGCTCGATGTGAACGCCCTCGAGGCACAGGCACCAAGTGGCTGCCGCGATTAAACGCGATGCGTATCTACTTTCTCGAGATTCCCCCCACGGCTCCTCGGTCTTTGGCGTTTCTACGTGCACGGCTCGTAAATCGGTTCCGAATTCGAACAGCGCGCGGCTCCAAGCAGGCGGAAGCACAGAGAGAGAGAGAGAGAGAGAGAGAGAGAAACTCTCCTTTGATTCGAGCAACCGGGAGGGACCGCTCGTCAGTGAAACGTCATCGTCGTCCGTAATCGCTGGAAATTCTACCCGCTTGAACGCTTTGATCCGCCACTGTGTTTTCGAAGCACTCTTCTTCCGGCCGCGTTGCGAGCCCTTTCGAATCGCGGCCGTGTTCCAATGGGCTGGAATTCAGCAGTCTACCGCACAAAGAGATCCGCTTCGTTTTCGTCGACGCAGCACCCACCAGCAGTTTCGCTTCGGCCTGCCAAAA